TTATGGCTGAGGTTGAGGCTGAGTCTAAGGCTGAGACCGAAGAGGAGGAGCTTGGTTTTCATGACACAGCAGTATATGATGACTTGGAGGATCTTGAGGGAGATATGCTGCAGACTGTTGTTGAGGCATCACTGAGGGATACGTCGATGGTGGGCTCTAGTGGAGCCAAGGAAGTTGTTGCACCAGGCACTGATTCCCCAAATGATGGAGTCACAGATATGCAGAGTTCACCACCTGTTTAGCCTGATAGGGGGCTTTTCACTCTTTTTCAGTCCTTCTATTTTAGTTATTTCTTTGCATTTGAGGACAATTGCTAGTGTAGTTTGGTGGGGTAAGGTATTACTATATCTACCTCTTTTGGGCTGTTTTGTGGATATTTGTTATTTTGGTTTGTGAATGTTGGATCTTATCTTGTGTTGATATATATATATTGGTTTTTGATCAATAGAGTTGGTCCATTGTTTTTAATGTGAATGTTGGTTTTGACCCATTTTTAAAAAAATTGTCACCTTTTGAGGTGTTTGAATATGGTTGTTCTCTTACAATTTCGAGTGTCGGTTGTAATCAATACTGATGACTTGAATAGTTCTCTCAATTGAACGATATAAGTGTGCGACAACGAAGAGGCAAATTGAGTTACATAGGCCATACGTGAACTCCTAGCATCTCGTTGTTACTAACCGGTTGTTGAGTTGATCTCTTGTGATGATCGTTGCACGCTAGCTAAAAATTGTAGACTCTTGTTTGATGATTGTGTCGAATGCCATGTGTGGTGAGGTATTCTTGAACTATGCGCTTGATGATACCTAGAACTTGCCCCGTTAGTCTAATTGATTGATGTAAGCAAGTGATTGAAATGATCTTAGGCACAATTTGTGACGAGTGAACCGAAAATTGATATTATACCTCTTTGTGGCCACCTTGTGAGAGTGTGAACCTAGCTTGGAACCTTTTGAGCCTATCATTTTCTTTGGAAGAAACTTGAACTACTTTGACCTCTTTGTCCCATCACCTATAACCTTCATGAAGTATTGGTTCGTTTGAATAGTCAACTTAGGCCAAAAGTCTAAGTTAGAGGTGTGGTGAAAAAGAAGGAAAATCAAGGAATGTGAAAAATCCGCCTTTGAAGGATCATGTTGAAAAAAAGATGGAACCCCTCTATGTAAAAAAAAAAAAAAAAAAGAAAAGAAAAAGGTGAAAATGGAAAAAAGACTAAAAAATAGAAGAGTTTCTGAAATAAAGCTTGTGAAAGGAGCAAAATAAATGGGGTGTCCAATGAGTCATGCTTAAATGAACAATAGGGTGGATTCTGAACACCATAGAGTGTGAATGAGAAGGAGAAAAAGTGAAGTGCAGACCATACTTCCTAAAGGTAGAAGTCACTAAACTAAAATGATCATACCTTTACACTCAGCCCCATTACAAGCCTTAAAAGACCTTTGTGATCTTGAGTGAGCTGAAATTGAAAAATAAGGGCAAGCCTATGGGTAGAGTCGTGTGTGTGTTCATCTTTGGGAGTGTGAGAGTTGTATTTGGTTCCGAAATTATAAATTATTGATGAACTTTGTGTGAGCATGGAATCATTCTTAGTGTGAGGGAATTTGAATGCTTTTGTTGAGCTTGAACTTGCATTTGAAGCAAGCATTGTGAGATTGATTTATTTTTTTATGATGGTTAGTCACAGTTTGAAACTTAGAGTGCATAATTGAACATTGTATATGTAGTTTGATCCTCTTGTGTGCATTCGTGTTGAGTCTTGAGTAGCACTATTTGTAGACATCCTTATTGAACTGATTGATCTTGTGTTTTAGTTGAGGACAAGCAAAAATTTAAGTTGGGGGTGTTGATGAGTCTGGGATTTCGACTCATTTAGGGCTTGTTATTCATAGTTTTAGTGTCCTCAATGTTTATTTTGTGCTATAAACTGATGTTTTAATGCTAATTTGCATATATAAAGGCAAAAGAACAAGACAAGGACAATACCGGGCAAAAAGGGGTGAAAAGGATTAAAAAGGTTGAAGATAGTGAAAGCTGAGAATCGCCAAAGCCACTCGACGACTCACCAAGTGGCACTTCAGATTGCCTAAAGTTCCAGACTATCATCCCTGGTGCGAAGCCAACTTGGCGATAAATTTTGACTTTCGGTGAACCGCCGAATGGATCGGCGACACAAACTTGGATTGCCTAAAGTTACAGGGTCTGAAAGATGAAGATTCAAGGCAAACCTGTGATGGAATGGAGCCATTAACGCATAGCCGACTTGGTCGGCGATGATCGACTAACTCCGTCGTATGACCCCTGAAGGCCAAAATTTGAGAACGTATAAATTGAATTTCAAAAAGAAGAAAAGGGAATCCAATCATATCCTGAGTAATTTTCTCCATTGTTGAACTTGGAGCTTTCGTTTGAGACATTGTTTAACTTGGTTTAAGGAGTTTTCTAGTAGATTTTGAGTTGGGTTTTTTATATTAAGCATTTTGGATCATTGTAAAGACGTGGATTGCAATACCTAGATTATAGAGAACATAATTGGTATTGCTTTCTTACTTTTTATGAAGTGTGGCTAAGCTCCCATTCTTGGGGGTGTGATTATGTGATTAATTGTCTTAATTATCTTATGGTGTTAGTAATTATTAATTTAATTGTTGTTTTGAAGTGGGTTTGGTTGGTAATTGAGTTTTAACTTATGAATTGTAGTTGCAAATGCAGTTCAAGATTAGCATTTTATGCTTGCTCGAGAGAGAGAGGTTTTAGAATTAAGATTATTGATTGATGATTGTAGTGATTGGGTTGTTATGGGTTCAGCTCGAGAGAGTGAATCTTAATCCTAACCTACCTTCTAGCTCGAGAGAGTAGATGAATTGAGGTAATTGGTTGTTCATAGTATGTTGCTTGTTAAGGTTCGAGAGAACTCACTTTGATGCGTGGTAGTTGTTCAAGAGATGGATATCGTATCTAAAGCCTAGCCTACCCACTAAGATTTAGTAAACCTCAATAATTAATAATCAGTCGTATAGCGAAATTGGTAATTAATCGATCACATTCCCAAGTATCCCTTATCTACTTGATTACTCCCCTGTTTTTCTTAGTTTTTAAGTAACCTTAACCCCCCCCCCCATTTGGCACTTGTTGTCAACCCTTTGATTTACTTAAATGATCTCAATAATTTCTATTCCTACAATCAATTAGAACATGTCTTTCACTTCATAACTGTATTCTAACTTGTATCACTCCCTGTGGGATCGACCCCAACTCTTTGTTAGGTTTATATTAGATTGTGATAACCTACACCTAGTATTGGATGAGGTGTAGTTGAGTGTTATTACAGGGTTTTGAATAAGAATGACATGTTTACTAAATCCACTCTTGCTGAATGCCAACTTCTTGAGGGTGTAGACCAGGTTCATGATTCCTTTCCACGTGTTGTTGGACCAGTTACTAGCCTTCTTAATGAACTTCATGCTTCTAGGACTTGGAATGATGAACTCCAAGGTGAAATGAGACTCTTAGAACTAGGTTGACTAGGTCTCAGAGGGAAGTGACAAGGTTGAAGGACCAGTTGTTGCAGCAACAACTTGATAGTGATGCTCGTGTGGATCACTTATTACAGTTCTTGTCCATCTCTCACATCCCACAAAACCAGCCTTCTCTAGTTCCTAAATATCTCCTTTTGGCTTTTTTTCAGACAATTTCATATGATGTGTTGTTTTGCTTTTTGTTGGGTATTTTGTTGTAACTCCTCGAGCTTAACATCTAGTGCATCCTATTTTTCTTGATTTTTTTTCATCGCCTTGTTGTGCTCTAATGTTTCATGTTTGGATGGCTAATATCCTTGGATTGTGTTCATTGTGTGCTTGCCTGCCCTTGTGGTGCCCTTCTGGCTCTAAGTTAGTTATATTCTTGTACTAATGTACTCTTTAACTCTTCTTTTTGATATGTCAAAAGGGGGAAATCTTTTATGTGACATTGGTTGATTAAAACAGGTACACAATACAAGTAAAAGGTGTATATTTGTCGGCATCAAAAAGGGGAAAATTGATGGAGCATAAATGACTCAAATTGCTTTTGATAATGACAATGTGAACCAGGTTCACATAATATACATTGGGCTACATCAGAAAGGTGAGAAGAGTTCAGGCCTACAATACAAAAAGAGAAAACGTGTTTTCAAAATAAGCACTCTGAGTCAAAGAAGGAAAGCAGTAATAATAAAAGAGTCATGAGTAAATAAAGGAAAAAGCAGACAAGTTCAATAAGGAAAAAGATTAGTTGTATAGGAAAAACAAATTTCTTTCCTTATAGAAGTTGAAGACGGAAAATTAGAACTCTGTAAAAGGATCAAGCGGAAAAAAGAAGTCTTTCTCTTTGAAATTCGAAAAGTAATGAAAAGAGAGAGAAAAAGCAATACAAGCAAAGGCCGGAGTTCGAGAAGATCGAAGAGAAGAAAGAAAGAAATACTAGAGTTAGGATTTATTTCGAAGGGTTAGAACTACATTGATTCATCTTCGAACCAGTGTTGTAGAGAGAGTTAAAAGAGAGTTTGAGAGAATTGTAACAAGAAGTGGGTTTGACATATTGGGGGTAGAGTTAAGAGAGAGAGAGAGGTTGAGAGAATTGTAAACAAGAAGCTAGTTTGACTTCTTGTAGAGTAGAGTGTTCCGATTATAGTTAATCGAAAGAGTAGAAGTTTTAGAATTGAATTCATTAATTGACTAAGTTGTAATCTTGAATTAATATTAAACTTTAGTATGGTTTTTCCTTTCCTTGAGGTAGGAGGGTTTCCACGATAAATTTGTGTTATCGTCTAAAAAGTAGTTATTTCTGTAAAATACTCTAGATACTAAAAATGGATCATGCAATATTTTAAATGAATTGATGATATTACACAAATTAAGGATAGAATTATGTCTGGGTTCTCAATGGTTACAATTTTCAGAAAAGGAAAGAAATATATTCTACACATAAGGCAAAATATTTAAGCTAATATATAATAGATAAGAGCATTTTCATATCCATTGGTTGGCAAGAATGTCAGCGAGATCAACCACTCTCTGTGAGTAACCTCATTCATTGTCATACCAAACAATAACCTTAACCATGTCATCTTCCATGACCATGGTAAGTGAAACATCCACAGTTGATGAAACATAAGAGCACCTAAAGTCGACTGAAACAAGTGGCTCATCGCAGACAGAGAGAATGCCAGCAAGCTCCTTGTCAGCAGACTCCCTGAATGCAGCATTCACTTCCTTTACAAATGTATTCTTTGATACTTGAACGACAAGGTCCACAACCGATACATTGGGAGTGGGGACATGCAGGGCAATGCCATTGAGTTTACCCTTGACGCTGGGAGGGACAAGGGCCACAGCCTTAGCTGCACCAGTTGAGGTTGGCACAATGTTGAGAGCTGCAACTCTTGCACGTCTAAGGTCCTTGTGGCTTGCATCAAGCATCCTTTGGTCACCAGTGTAGGAGTGTGTAGGAGTGTGTAGTTGTCATGGCTCCTATGCCTATACAAAAAAAAATTGATTAGTTTTATGAATTCAACCTTTGCTATAGTAAGTCTCTCTCTCTCTCTCTTTGCTATATGTTACCAAATTTTTGGTCAAGGACTTTGACAAAAGGAGCAAGATAGTTGGTGGTGCAAGAAGCATTGTTGATGATGGGCTCATCAGGGCTGTAAAGGTCTGCATTGACACCGATGACATAGGTAGGAATATCACCCTTTCCGGGGGCAGTGATGAGGACTTTCTTAGCTCCAGCTTGGATATACTTGCCAGCACCCTCTCTATTGACAAAAACTTTGGTACCTTCAATGACCAGGTTAACACCAAGATCCCTAGGGAGATTGATGTTAGTGTTGAACATAATTATATATAAGAATAATTATGTTGGTGAAGGAAAGGACTTACTTCCAGGGGAGATTGATGGGGTTACGGTCGGAGACGACTTTGATGAGCTTTCCATCAACAGAGATGCCATCAGTACCAACAGGCTTAACATCAACATCGAAGATGCCGAGGGTAGAGTCGTACTTGAGGAAGTGAGAGGCTTGTTTGACACCGCTAGAGTCATTGATGGCAATGACATTAAGGGGAGAGTCCTTCCTGCCATTCTAGCACCTCAAGAAATTCCTTCCAATTCTTCCAAATCCATTGATGGCTACCTTCAATTTTGCCTCCACTACTCTACTATTATTCTTCTTTCCTCCACCAATCTACGAAACATTTTGGTATATGTTTAGTTTAAAAGCACATGAATATATTGAAATGAATGGAATTATAATTAAAAGGCTTAAGTCATTTGTGGCCCCTTAAAGTTGTCCGCATAATTCACTTAGACACCTTAACTAGCACTTGTACCTATTGAACACTCCTACCCTTCCGAATTTGAACCATTTGAACATTTTTTGACTAGGTGGCACATTGTTTGTGATTCACATCCTATAAGCGCGTGAAAGGTATTAAATTGGGCATTTTTTATGGAAAGAAGTATTCTTTCTTCTTCATCTTCTTTGTCATCATTTCCCCTACCACACCACCAGTTTGGTGCTGGTGCTGCCACTACACACCCTTCTTCTTCCTCTTTTTTTCTCTTGATACTTCAGTTCTTACACCTCCGTTGATTTTTTTATTGGCAGCACCACCATTGACACGACCTTTCCACCATTATCACCGTTATTTTCATCATGTTTAATTTGTAGAGGGATTTAGGTTTGGAGTTTGTCTCTTTGTTGTTAATGTAGTAATTTGGTAAATTGATGTCCAATTATGTGAATCTATTGGAGGATTTTTCTATTTATTATTTGCTTTTGCTCAAATTTTTATTGAAGTTTTTTGATTTGTGATGTTAATTGGACTTTTAAAATTGATGTATATTGGCAGAATTTAATGATGTTCTTCATCCAAAAAAGTTAATCGATTATGAAAAACAAAAGAAGTCCGAGATAATTTCATTTTTCCGACAATGACAATCGGGACTCATTAATTTTCCAGCAAATTTTTTCCATCTTTATCTACCTAAAACGAGATGAAAAATAAAGTTGTAGTTAAAAGTAGGCTGATGGAAAGGAAGATTTGTCGCGTTGGGGATAACACTATAAAGGGAGAGGGAAGATTGCCATGAATGGAGGTGGTACTGTAGAAGGAAAAGTGAGTTCTGAGCTTCAATAGATTGAAAGGGAAGTGGGGTGGTTTAATTTACCCCTTTTTTCATTTTATTTTTACTTTAAAATAATTTCTTTTTTCTTTACTTTATAATATAATTTTTAAATAATATTTTGGATTCAAAATGACAGATGTCACTATTTAATTAGTCAAATTAACATGTCATCGCGAGTGTATTTCACACATTTTCTACTTTTAGCTTATTCTCAAAAAAATGTTCAAATGGTTCAAATTCGGGATGATAAAGGTGTTCAATAAGTACTAGTCCTAGTTAAGGTGTGTAAGTGAATTATGCGAACAACTTTAAGGGGCCGCAGATGACTTAAGCCTAATTAAAACTTACAATAGAGGTTTGGAAAGCAACAAGAGAGAGCAAGTCATCGTTAATTTTCCTTCCGACTCCGAATGGAACGGCAGATGAGGTTCGAAGGCCAGTGAACTCTGAGAATGATCCTTTATTGTTGCTGAAGTGGACAGTAGAATTGGCTACTGATAGAGCAGCCGAAGCCATTGATTTTTGTGTGTTTGTGTGTGTATTCACAACCCCTCTCACTATATTTAGTGAAGATAGGATGGAGTGGATGAGATTATGAATCATACATAGCCTCTCACTCATTCTATGGCTCTCCTTTACTTTCCTACTTATTATTTCCATTAAAATAGACACATACATATTTGTTCTACTATAGGTGTAAATCAACTTTTTATAATATAATATATTATTAAAAGTGGGAACATCCTAACCTCAAAGTTGGATTACCGTTTTGCCCCTACATTAAATTGAAGTATTAAAAATATTTAATTAATTAAATATCAATAATAGATAAATGTCTTATACTCTTCACCATCATCAGAAAATGTTGCTTAGCAACAATCGGGTAAAGTTTCACTGCATCAAGCTCTAAAGTTGAATATTTTGTACCAACTCGGCTAAATCAAAGACTGTCATAAATTGTATCTTGAGTCTTAAAAATTGGGTCCCTTAGCCCCTAAATTGGTGCACAAGCAAAAGAATAATAAAAAGGGGGTCTCTGGCTTATTAAGAAGCATATTAACAACACACTAGGCTAAAAATCAAAGTTTAGGGGGTGCATGGGTTGAAAATGCAAATCTAGGTTTAAATCATAAGTTTGTAAGTCTAATGATAAAGGGTGTGAAGTAGCCAAAGAGAATACAATGTGATCTCCCTCCTAAAAGAATAAAAAAAATGTGTTTGTACATGTGAGAGGATGGAGCACTTGGTACGCAAAGGAGAAGAAACTAGGAGAGTAATGGTGAAATGAAGAAATTAGGGTGGTGAAAAGCTTAAGTAATAGATGATTATGTCTAAAGAAATCAATTCTTTTGTTTTCAATCCTTCATTACCCATATCCACAAGTCCTAGTATCAATATAATCATGTTAAATATACCTTTTAAACTTCAACTTTATTTTCTTTATTACTATTCTCAAGTCAAACCTTGTTATAGTGTCAATGTTTTTTTTAAAATATCTGTGTCAATTATACTCCAGGGTTATTATATATACATACATATTGACATGACGATTAGATTGCATTTAGCTATTATAAAAAAAAAATACCGCTATAATGAATGTTATTATTATAGAGAGGTAAATTATAAATGAAAAAAATAACAATTTTGGAGAGAATCAAGTCATATTATATAGTGAAATGTTGGTTTTGTTGAAAATAATATTGTTATAGTGAAATTTTATTATAACAAATGATTGTTATGGTGAGATCGATTGTACTATATATTCCCTTTGGTTCAACTTATATAACATTATGGGTGTGTTTGGTATGAAGGAAAATGTTTTCCATGGAAAATGTTTTCCTAGAAAATGTTTTCTTGGAAAACAAGTGGATTTCTAACTTATTTTCTCATGTTTGGTTGGTGAGTAGAAAATATTTTCTGAAAAATATTTTCTAATATTTGGTTGGTGAATGAAACATATTTTTCAGAAAATATCTTTTATTTTTGGCTTGAGACTAAAAAATACTCTTGGAAAATAATTTATGATCCGAAAATCAACCTCCATAATTGATCTAGGACCCCACCCCGACACCCAAACTAGGACAAGACCCTGATAACCATTCCACAATCCGATCCTGAGATTTTACCTAGGACATGACCCAGGAGTTGGCGTGTACCAGTGGAGTTGGCGTTAAAGATGAAAAAAAAATTAATTTGAATTATTTCCTAAAAATAGTTTTTCTTAAAAAAAAATTTGAAGGGAATGGCCTGGGGGGGAGGGGGGGTAAGAGTAGGGATAGGGGTGGGGTGGCATAAAAAATGAAATTTTTTAAAATTTGAAATATTTTCTAAAATTATTTTTTTTTAAGTATTTGACAGGGGTGGCCTTGTTTGCAGGGAGGGTGGTGGGGGGATTGGCGTAAAAAACTAAATTTGAAATATTTTTCTAAAGCAATTTTTTTTGGGCGGGTAGGGAATAGGGTTGGTAGTGGTTGGGTGAGGTAAAAAAAAACCTTAAAATTTGAAATATTTTCAAAAATATTTTTAAATTTTTTTATTTATTTTTTTGTTTGGGGGGGGGGGGTAGTTTGGGGGATGGATAAAAATATATTTGAAATTTGAAAAATATGAAAAAAAAAATATAAAAAAATTGAATGGAGAGAGTCGGGTACGGAGTATGGGTAGGGTAAGAAAAAGAATTAAAGGATAAAGTAGAGTTTTGGAAATGTTTTTCTCAATTTTGGAAGGGAAGTCATTTTCCTTAAATTTGAGAAAATGAGTTAATTTGAAAAACATTTTAAGCCAACCAAACATGGAAAAATTGGAAAACATCTCCATACCAAACACACCCTGTGTCCTTATTGGTTTGACTATAAAATTAAAATTAAATTCTATTGAAAATTATTTAACTTTATACTTAATATTTTAATTTTAGTCAAGAGATTTTTAAATCACACAAACATTATGACGGTCTTAAAAATAAAATCCCAAAATGTTTATAATCGTACAAATATTATACTAATATTTTCAAGACCGAGAGTCATATAACTGATGTAATTGCTCGGATAGTAATTATCAAGCATAGTAAATACATAGTCTGGTAATTACACTGATCTATTTGTTTGTCACAATGTAGTTACAATGTAATTATAAATGTGCTATTTGGCTACACAATTGCAATCACAATGTTATGTTAATTTTAAGAAATAAAAGTTATTAATCTAAAATTAAAAGATTTTATTTGATAAATAAGAGGCTACATAAATTATATTGAATTATACATTTAAGATATGTATTATCTTTTGAAAATATA